GTTAAGTGAAAGGGCGGGAAAACCTAATAGTTGTAGGAGATTTCAACGCAGTAATAGGTGAAGCTAAAGTGGGTGCAATAGTATGTTCTTTTGGATTAGGTTATAGAAATGATAAGGGAGATAGGCTGATAGAATTTTGCGATAAAAATAGTTAATCGTCGCGAATACTTTATTCAACCATCACGTTAGGAGGCGCTATACGTGGAAGATTTCAGGTGGTTTAGGGAGATGTCAGTTATATAACATACTTTTTAGGCAAAGATATAAAAATCAGGTGAACGACTGTAAGAGTTATCCACGACCAGATATAGATATAGCGATCATAACTTAGGAGCTATGAAGACAAATCATAAACTGAAAAAGAAGGAAGGTGGGAGACGTCTTGACCTAGAAAAGCTAAAATTTAACAGAGAACCTGTAGGTAGGCCATGAATCAGAAGATATCTTAGAGAAGGAAGATACTGTGGACCTAGGTGAGCTAGGTTATCCCATAATGAGAGAAGAGTTCGGTGTAGCATTAAAAAACTTAATGAATAATAAGGCGTCAGGTGTAGAAGGGAAACAGGGAGAAATTCTAAGACATGCAGGACAAGAGATTATAGATCGTTTGTTTAAGTTAGTTCGTCACATTTACCCTACGTGGAAAGTTTCAGAGGATTATAAACGCAAAGTGGTAGTAAACATACCTATAAAGAGAGGCGCAGATGGATGCGAGACATTTAGAACTATTAGCTTAACTTCCCATGCGTCAAAACTCTTAACTAGAATTGTACAGAGGGGGTGGAAAAGAGGGCGGAAGGACTATTAGGGGAAGATAAATTTGGGTTGAGGAAATATATAGAAGAACGCGGGAGGCTATTCTAGATTTACGGCTAACCTTAGAGAAAACGATAGGAAAAAGAAAGAGGGCGTACATAGGATTTGTAGATTTAGGTTACAAAGATAGAAAAGTGATACTTAGTTTGTATAAAGAAGAACAGGCAGTTATAGAGCTAGGGTTGCAACGTAGAGGAGTAAATATTAGGAAGGGAGTCAGACAAGGATGCACACTGTCACCGCTACTTTTTAATCTATACATCGATGACGTGATCAACATCGCTAGAGACAGTGCAACTGTAGGGATAGATATACAGGGGCAAAAGATTAGTACTTGCTTAGATTTGCAGATGATGCAGAAGTATTAGCATCTAGCAAGGACGACTTAGAGATCGCTTTAAATAAAATGGAAGCGGTATTGACAAAACATTCTGTATGAAAATAAATAAAAGTACTGGTATGCAAGGGAAGGAAAAGTAAGGAAAGAGCGAATATAAAGACAGGAGACAAAAATTAGAAGAAGTGGCCGATTTTAGGTATCTAGGAAGTCAGATAAGTCAGGACGGAAGGAGTAGTAGGGATATAAAGCAAAGGATAGGGCAGGGTCGAGTTGCCTTCAATAAAAGGAAGTCTGTAGTAGATTACTGTTCGCAAATAGTTAAGGATATGGATTCCTAAGTTATAGAGAAATGTGATGATTAGTTCAGGATAGGAAGGTCTGAAGGTGTGTGTCCCATCAATCTTAGGACTGACGACCTTATGATGATGATGACAGAAATACATTATTATGACTGTGAAGAACTACCTTAGTCAAAAGCGGCAACATTTCTGAAACTTTAACAGGATTGGTGGAACGTTGAAGTAACCGTACCAACAAGCACCAAGTAAGATAATTAAAAGAACTTCTAAATTCTTAGACGTTTCTAATACGTACTAGCATTTTCAGGTCAAGAGTTCAGTAGGACCTCATAAGATTTTTTATGTGAACTACAGGAAGTTGATACTGGCGGGTGAATGTGCGTCCGAAGGATGCGGAGAAGACATATTTTACATATCTTGGTTGTAATGGATTACTTTAGCGGATTAGGAAGCTCACACCGTTCCCGAAGTGACTGTCAATGTTAGGATTAGTCGATGTTTAGTACCTTTACAATTGCATTCCGACCAAGGAAGAATCTTCGTGTCGACGTGGTTCAAACAGGTTACTAAACTAATGGGTATAACTAAGACAAGAACTACACCTCCATATCCGCGATCTGACGGGATGGTTGAACAATTTAACGCTACTCTGGAGACCGACTTAAGAAGCTGCGTTGACGGACACCAAACCGACTGGGGCCGACACAACCACTTGACTTATAAATCCGCCATCCATGAGATAATTGGAAGAACACCAGTCAGCATTTTATTCGGGAAAAAGTTCAAATTGTCAGCAGACATAATGTTTGGTCGTCCTGAAGATTTTGCAGTACCTACAGACGAATATGTGGCCGAACTACGAGAACGACTAGAAGGCATCGATAATGCTGTGCGTACGAAGCTGCGATTTGAAACTGACCGCATGAAGACTAGTCTCCATGGACGAGTCAACTCTGCTGGTTATCATGAAAGGGACAGAGTGTGATGTACAATTCAGAAAGACGGAAGAGAAGCTGCCCAAAACTACAACAAGCTTGGGATGATCCATATACCGTTACTCGACGTATCAACGATGTTGTCTATCGAATTCAGAATTCCTTATTCCCCATCGTCTTCTCGTTTAATTTTCAATAATCAATTACCATTTTGTATATTCTCATACACCTAGCATCGAATTTCTTAGGTACGAGTCACACGGGAGATGAATAAAAACTCAGGTCTTATAACTTTCCTTCGTAAAAAGTGTTAAATCAGTCCTTCTATCTGCTGCTTTAAATATTTTCGACACCGGTAAGTTTTTACGTAAATAGATTTGTCGTTTTCTGTTTGTTGTGGTTGAGGTTGTTTGTAAATCTTAAATTATCGAAATTTTTATGAAATAATTTAATAGTAGCGATTTATTAATTGTGTGATTTTTGCCTTTTCTTTAAAATACATATGTAATGATGACATTAATTCTGAAATAAAATTGTGATTCTTTTATTCTTTCTAAATTTGGTTGTCTTAAAAATATTCTGTCTTGTATCCACAGGGTGAAAGTACTTTTTTTGTTTATGGGTGAGTACATTAATTTCTGGGTTGAATTACCATGTAAAATAAAATGTGTTTCTAAATTATTTAAACGAATTATAGTTATGAAGTGGGTAATCTTTTTGAGTTCCTAACTGAGTGTGTTGGTTCCTATTAAACTACTAGCACTAGCATGTTTGTGTGTGATCGGGCATACGTGTGTGTGAGCGGCTTATCGATTCGCCGACTAGATGCGGGCGCCTTTCTTCATGTGCGCCGTATTTATAAACGTGTGTGTCGTAACTGCGTTTCGGGAAAGCAATCAAACAGTTCAAAGAAAACGAAACTTTTCCGGACGGCTCGAGAAAGTTCCAGGAAGGACACAAAAGAGTATATTAAGGAAGAGAGTAGAAATAAATTGACCGTTGCAGAAGTGAATCAAGAAATAAATTGACAGTAAATAGTAACAGTAGTGTAAATAAATAGAATAATTACCTAAGTTAGTAATAATTTAATAGTGTTTTTAAGTCTTTTAATAATAATTAGTGTAAATAAATAGTTTTTGTCGTTGTGTGTCTTTAAAGTTAATTTGTTAAACCCACGAACCATACAGTATCTCTCATTTCAATTTGAAATGAATAGGCATATTTATTCCTAAATCTTGCAACAAAGGAAACTTGTCTACAGGGACTTCATCAAAAAACCGTAGCTGGAAACGTTAGGAAAGGCTATCCTATGTTCTTGAAGAAGCGGCAGGCGGAATATCCCTACACAATAATTCATATGGGTTGCTAGGCAATACTTGGTGTAGTAGATGGGGCAGATAGAGAGCCAGGGCCTCACCTCAGATAGATTAATAGAACCAAAATCAGGAGCTGTCCAACTCACGATCGGAAGGTCCACGTAGGTCGTCACATCGAGGACTATACCAGGGAAAGACTGGTTTCCGCCGAGCCTCTACTCTAAAAAATACCCTGATTGGGCCAATTAAGCAATATAAAAGAAAGATGAGTTATTACCAAAAATATCAACTGTACTGTTACAAAACGATTAATTGAAGAACCTTAAGATTGAAGGGTGAGAAATGAAAAATAAATATAAAGCTTTCACGTAAAAGAAGTAAGGAAGGGTCAAAGAAGATTCTGTCTAGTCCCCGTCTGTTTGACTTTATGCTCACAAAACACTCAACGATTTATGCTAGAATAACCAGATACCATAAATGCCCCAAACGAATTTGAAAACCTTTTGTAATCCCTTATTAATGAAAGTTAAGGAGACCACCTGGCCCCATTTAGAAATACCTAAATTGAATTAATTTACCCTAGGCATATTGACTTTAACACAAAAAAAATAAAAAAATTTAATGAGCTATGAATAATAAAGGTTAAATTTCCTAGATTTATAATAATGCCAAGCAAAGCCACAATTCGTACTAAACGGTTCCAAGCAAAATCATCAAGTTGAGGAAAAAGTTGGTTATAGCACACAAAAATTCATTAAGCACATAATCAGATTCGTACTGGCATCGATACGAGAACCACCGATCAGGATGAGAAATCCGTGACATTGCCCTATTTGGAGAGTAAACGATAGGAAAATTTTCACAGCTCGCGAAGGACCTCGACTGCAGAAACAAAACTCATATCATCAAAAGGAAGAGAAAAGACACTCCAGCTAGCGCAATAGGAAATTTCCTTAACAAAACATAGCAATAGCTAATCGAAGAGAATTTAACAGAGAAAATATAGGCACATGTTTAAATAAGGAAAAATCTTATATTTTCATATGCCGAGTAATGGAATTTTTCGAACGGAAGAAAAACATTACAACATCCATCAATTGACTCTTTCATATGCTTAATGGGTTAATGGTAGTGTAAGAATTTGTTTATTAACAATGTTATTTACGTTGTCACCATTATTTTTAAGAAACCCACGAGAACAGTCTGAATTCTTGGTCTCAACCCAAAAATTATATTCAACTTATATTGTAGCGGATGACATGACAGAAAAAAGCTTTTATTTTACATTAATTTTTATTATGTCGTTACAAATAACAGTTTAAAAAAGTTATACATGCACATATATGTTTATATTATTATTGGAAAATAGTGTAAACGCAGTATATTTTCAAAACTCTTCCACTTCGTTATTTTTGCTATAGTAAGTAGGATCTTTGTTAGAATCATAAATTGGTTTTCGTATTCTTCGTTCCGACATTTCCAGCGGTCTTGCATTCAATCGAATTCTATAATTTCCTTGGTAAGAAAAACTGGAATACTGTGTCCCCGGAAAAGGATTAACCGTTCGTTGGTTATTGATATTCAAAGCGTTATCTGAACCAAAATCATTTTACACACATTAACAACAGATTTGTTTTAAATTGGATTACTTTTTTTTGGAAGTCTTACCTTTATTATCTTCACATTTGATTATCGTATCCACAAACTGCATATCTTCTGTGGACTTTGAAAGTTTACTGCAAACAACTGTTCCTTCAGGACAAGCTACTCCATAACAATTGCGAATACCTTCTGAAAAATCGGAATAAAATCAAGTAAATATGCAATTGTCATTTCTTCCCCAAATAATTGTTTAATTATAAAGCATCACGCTACGTAAGAATAATGGTTCTTTCATTTACGTGAACCCACAGCCGACGATTCGCTCTCAATTAAGCATCTTCAGGGTTAGGTTTCTTAGTTACAAAATGTTTGTATCCAAGGTCGCGATTTTTTAGACATGATGAAACAATTATATTTATAGTGCAATTAATTACTTATAATACATAATTAAAATCTATTATAACAACACAATGTAAAGTTAAAACAATAAGTATTATAAATAATTGAAAACAATAATACAATATTATCGTTTTCGTCATCTTTGTTACCCCGTGATTTCACATCAATAAATAAAGGCTACGAGAATTAACTTTTCTGTTAACCTTACCCAGTTACTTTTCCAGAAATAAAGGATCTTCGTGGTAATCCGCTATAAATAAATACAATTAGGTATTGTGTCACATCATATTGTGAATATTATTACAATGGTGGTAGTTTTCGTCAACCTACCGGTTTACCTCTTTAGACAATATTGCTTGAATTGCTCAACTGATGAGTTGGCAATAGCTATCGTCAACATAATAGTATAGACAATATTATGTGTCACAATATGTGGTTGCATTTATTTATAACCGGATAGCTACAAAAGTCTAGATATAGACTTCTCGCTTTAATAGTTAAATTTTCATTGCAGCTGACTTGTTCTTTCGTACTAAATAAAGTATTGTTGATCTAAATCAATTGGCTATTATTATTTTTAAAGACTTCAATGTGTTTTTTGAATAAACGTATTAGTGCATATTTATTTACTTTTATTTTCTATGATACGAGCCAATGCAGAGCATCTAGATAAAGAAAGGCTTTACTACTTCGTTAAAGTTAATGTTATCGGCTATTCTGTGCAGTTGTTTTATCGTAAAAACAAATTTAATCGTTCCTGCTTCGAAGCACATCTTCAAGTGTAGAATAAAAATTATGCTTATATAATTGGACGTTAGAATAAGAAGCTTTACCTCTTTACTGTAATACAAAGTATTTTTATTTACTTAACAGTTTTTTTAACTAGGTAATTGCTTTTCCATACCAATTTCTGCTCCAGATAGTCCGTATATACTATTAGCTAGAACACTGTTGTAAATTATAACCAATACACTAATCGTAATTAAAAACTTCATGTTAGTATAAACAAAGTATGAATACGTTCTTAGATGAAGCAATGTAAAAGAAACACTGATTCTGGTCACGAAGTCGGTTGGTCGATTGCATCAATGATAAAATGCAATCGAGTATTTTGTTTATTCCTGATTACAACATTTGTTCATACTATCGTAGCTTTATACATATAAAATACAAATAAGGTTAGAGGTCCTCAAATTAAAACAGCCATATAAGATTACAACAACAAACAATCATAATTAATATTTTTCAATTTTTTCCATTCACTGAGACTATTATTTATTCTAAAAACAACACATTCAAAATGAACGAATTAGTCTTAATCATTGATTAAATTACCGCTGGCATGCTACTTCATTTGATACTCCAGAGACCTATTGATTAAATACAAATATACTTTTGAAATACTAGGTTCAAATTAAATGAATGCACGCTGGACCCATTGTCCAACAAACTAAATTCGTACGGATGATTTCTGGTTCATTATGTATACCTGAAACTAATAATTCCGTGTTCTACAATTTCTGATCATCAGTTACATGAACAAGTTATGTAATTCTGGCCGATAGGAGAAAAAATGTCCTTCAAGAAAAGAACTGGAATGAGACATTTCGTATAAATAGTGAAACGGGATTGTAATGGTGGCTCAAAGTGAACCCTTAAAAACGCGGCAACTATTTATAGCCGTTGGATTCGTTCTAGAAAGATCCAGAATCTAGTGAATCTGGCCGTCTTCGTTACTGTGTATGATGGGTTGCCTACACGTGACAGTATATTAGGTTGCCTACACTGCCCTTGTCCTAAAACTCCTTATCGCAATTAGTAGAGAGCAAGGCGGTCAAGATGGATGACCTTCATTTTTGCCCGAGGTCCCCACATCATTATGGATAGATTTTAATCGTTTCTTATAGTTCGCCCGCATATTCATCTGTATGTACTGGAGAGTCTCCAGGGCGACTAAACATCATGTCCGCTGAGTTGTTTCTCCAAATGAAATGCTGGCCGAAGGTCTTCCAGTTGTCTTATGGATTTATAAACTGTAACGTTCTTTTTCGTTCGAAAAATCCCGTTACTCGGCATATCAATTATTACAATTTTTCATTTATTATGGAATTAATATTTTTGTTTTTGTATTCCTCACAACAAGCTGTTTCTATGTTTGGTATAAGGAAATTTCCTGTCGCACTAGGTTGAGCGCTCCTCTTTTTTTTGTTGTCATCAGTTCTGTTTTTGCGGTCAAGTACACGTCCAAGCTGTGGAAATTTCTCTGACGTATTGTTTCCAAATAAGATATGGTAACGGATTCCTTTTTTTTGATTGGACCTGGTTTGTTGGTCGAATTTCCAATGTTTTTTGGAATAATGAAACGTTAAATATAATTTTTGGCTTTATCGGTTCAACTTGCTAATTTTTGTGTAATGGTTACGTGAACAAAATTTTCTTAAGAGTATTTGTTGGAAATATTTTCTTAACGTTTTCCACTTCAAATATTTTTTTATTCAATTTCCTTACGGTTTGGTAAAGTTTTGCCTTTTCTCTTGTTTTTAAAATTTTAAATTTTTGGCGACATTTCCACTATTAAACTCAATTAGCTAACTTAATGAATGTGGTTCTTCCATTTAATGTAAAAAGGGGGTTTTGAAAAGGTTTGAAATGGTACATTTATGGTACTTAATATTTTTATGTGTGTATAGTTGAATGTCTTGAAAGTTAGGGCTTATTACAGACGAACACTAGTAGAGATAGTCTGCTTTGATCCCTTTTCACCTCTGCGTTAATGTTTTAATATATTTTCATATTCTTTACAACTTTAAATAAGTAATGTTAATTTTTTACACAAAGTTTTTGTAATGATTTATTCAGTATCTTTAAATAATTGATCATTCCTTGTGTTATGTTAACTTGGCCCAATTAGGGCTTCATTTAAATTAGGCGCTCGAAGAGGATCGGTGACTGCTTGTCTAATTGTTCAGGTAACGACCTTTTGAAGACCTTCCGATCGTGAGTTAGATGGCTCCAGATCTTTCTTCCAGTGAGCACGTTGACTGGAGACCTGGATCTTTATCATTTCCAGATTCGAAATCACGTACTACATAGCGAACAAACTAGATTTGCATTGGGGAAGTTTCGTTTGTCTACCACCCTCAGGAACTCAGACTTAGCAAGACCTTATCAAAAGCCAAAAGAAACTACTGTGTCACTAGGAGAGAGATGCCGGCTGTAGTCAAAGGTGTAGAACATTTTTATAAATACCTATATGAACGACGAAATTCACCCTACGCACCGATCATGCAGCTTTAAAGTGGCTTCTGAATTTCAAGAATCCGGAGCTCCAGGTAGCTCGATGGATTGAGAAACTACAGGATTATGATTTTGATGTAGAGCACCGGCCTGGAACCGGACATAAGAATGCCGATGCTCTTTCCAGAAGATCTTGTCAAACAGACTGCAAGCAGTGTGATCGATAATGAAGAGGCAATTCGACGCGTCACGGCAATCGATGACGAGTGGTTACCTGAAAATATAAAATACGACCAAGAAAACGACCCGGACTTGAAGAAGGTGGTGGAATGGAAAAGAGACGGAAAACGGCCCACGTGGCAGCAAATTTCTTCCTATACCCAAGTAATCGTTATGAGCTTAGTGGGACTCAGTGATTTTGGAGGATGGCATCCTGAAACGTGTTGTTGAATGTCCAGATGGAGAGGAAGATCGGAAGCAACTGGTTATTCCTCGTGTTAAGGTAAGAGAGGTGTTGCAGTATCTTCATGACGGATCATTTGGTTGTATCATCCTCGTCGTCGCCGTGGACTATCACCTAAGTTCCAACAGAACTGGGAAGGGCCCTATGAGATAGTGAAGAGGATTAGTGACGTGATCTACCGAATTAAGGAAACTTCAAATGGGAAGCCGAAGGTAGTCCATTTTAATCGCTTGGCCCCATTCGCCGGTGCAAATGAAGAGGAGGCGCGGGCCAGATTATTAAGAACTATTCCTTCCGAGCCCAAATTCGAGGAGTTCATGACGGAAGGCCCCCATGTTAACAGGAGATTTGGAGTGACGCAAGAAATCCGACGAGACCTCTTTGCTATATCCAGGGAATATTCTTTGGCCCATTGCGTTTCAAAGGATCTCAGAATGAGCCGTGGTATCGCGTCCGAGTTCCAACGCAGATTTAGCGGGTTGGAACATCTTGAAGACCATGTACAGAAGGGAAAAAGACTGTTATGCTTTCCTGACGGACGACGCAATATCTATTGCCTGCTAACTAAAGGAAGATGCTCTGATAACCCAACTAATAGAGACCTTTGGGATGCAGTAATGGTACTCCGCGGACATCTTCTGGAGAATAACTTACAGAAGCTGGCAATTCCGAAGCTTGGTTGTGGACTGGACAACCTAGATTGGAGGATCGTACGGAACATGATCGAAGTCCTGTCCCGCCGTACTGGAATAGACATTTTGGTTAGCAGTAATAACCCGCATCGGACCAATCATGAGAAGACCGTGGATTGTTACTTCTATTCCCGGAGCGGATGTCGTGAAGGCGAGAACTGCAGATTCTGGCATGATCCTGCGAAACCTAAAGTGAAAATGTTTCGGGACGAAACATCCTTAAGGAGGGGGCAGTGTAGCGAGCACGAGCGTGTTTGTGTGCGATCGGGCATATGTGTGTGTGAGCGGCTTATCGATTCGCCGACTAGCCGCGGGCGCCTGTCTTCATGTGCGCCGTATCTGGAAACGTGTGTTTAGTACCTGCGTTCTGGGAAAGCAATTAAACAGTTCAAAGAAAAAGAAACTTTTCTGGATCGCTCGGGAAGGTTCCCAAAGGGAAGCAAAAGAGTATTTAAAGGAAGAGACGATCGCCGAAAAGAGGAAAATTGACCGTTGCAGAAGTGAATCAAGAAATAGATTGACAGTGATAAAAGTGAAATAAATAGCGCAGTGAATAGTGATATATCAACAGTAGTGTAAATAAATAGAATAATTTTAGTTTAGTAATAATTTAATAGTGTTTTTAAGTTCTTTAATAATTTGTGTAAATAAATAGTTTTTGTCGTTGTGAGTCTTAAAAGTTAATTTTGTTAAACCCACGAACATTAGAATACTTTGACAACTGAACACATACAGATACAATTTCACGAGACTAGAGATAAAATTTTAAGAAACATCACTTGCAAAATCCCGGTAAATTTACACAAAGTATCTTATGTTATACTTGGCCATGAACAAATTGTACCAGATATCTACAATGTATATATATAACGGTTTTGCTGATGTGCAATGTCTCAATAACATTCATTCCCTTGACAAATACATTTACTCAGACAAAGCTCCAACTGATGACAACATAAATTGCGACGTAATTAAACAACTCAGATTAGATTACAAAACTTTGCAAAGAATGCAATTCAATGTTTAGCGACGATCAACAAAAATTAACTGCGACCACGCAAGTAACATATCACATCAGGACAACAGACGGTTCTCTTGTTTACAAAAAAAATTTCCTTTACCCCCAAAAATTTAAAGACGAAATTCAAAACCAAGTCAAAAAATTGCTCAATAGCGGTGTAATTAAACCTTCTATTTCTCCTTATGCTTCTTTTGTTTGGATCGTACCAAAAAAAAAATGGCGCATAGTCATTGACTTCCGCTAACTTAACAAAAAAAACATTGAAGACAAATACCCTTTACCCCGAATCGAAGACGTTTTAGATTCTTTAGGAAAATGTTCTTGTTACTCTACTTTAGACTTAACTTCCGACTTTTTACAAATCCCTCGTCATAACGACAGTACCGAAAAAACGGTTTTTTGTATTTATAACGGTCATTACGAATATGTACATATGTTTACATAGATGACATTGTCATATTTTCAAAATCATTACACGAACACATAATACATCTACAACAAGTTTTTCAAAGACTAAAAGACATACATTTTAAAGTATCCTTAGGCAAATCAGAATTTTTGAGAAAAGAAGTTCCATTTTTAGGACATGTAATCACCCCCGAAGGAATTAAATCGAACCCTGACAAAATTACTTCCATTAATAAATTTCTAGTCCAAAAAACTGTA